TATTTGTTTATAATGGTTTTTTCTTTCTTAATTCTTCTGGTACCATGATGCGCGGTCACTATTAGGGATTAAACCTGTTTGTGAGTATTAAAAAGCAACGAATAACTGATCAGTCAGGTAAGTATTGAGCATAAATCTGGATTCACGATACTAATTCGCAATTAATGCGAAATAATGAAGGTGGAAATTCAAGGTAAAGACCTATTATTAGGTTGAGCAAAAATTATCCACCCTTTTTCCATATAATTTTATTAAGAAAACCAAAGAAAAACAACAATAAATGCGTAATCAGCAAATGCTCTCGAACAGTCCTCTCTGCAACCGTGCCTTCCTCCCAGGGTTCATTGATTCTATGATGCATAATCTTCCTGTCGGGTAACCGCCAGATGCAGAAGCAGGGTCAACCGTCCGTTGGACAAAGTCCAACGCGACGACGAGAGTAATGCCGAGAGTGAACGTACGCACGGAGACACAGACGGCTCGCGGGTGGCGAGAGTGAATGCCGGCGCGGAGAGCGGTGAACATCGGTCCAACGTCGCTCCAATATCGGTCCAACGTAACGGTTGACCCTGGCAGAAGCATTCGCTTTGAAGCCCAACTTGCACTCATGTAAGAGAGGCAATCTTTTTTCCTAGTGTGTAAATTCCATAGTAACATTTTACGAAGGTAAAGTAGTGAAGTAGCATAAGTGTTGTACATCAAAATGTACAAGAGATTGAGCGCTTTCAGACTACATCATAACCTTTGAAAATAATCAGCAAAAATCAAAGAACCATGAGCCTGAAAAAAGGCGGAATAATTACCGCTCAACCTGATATTATGCTGCTTTCTTGCTTTATTTCTGATCTCACTTCCGAGAGCATCGAAAAGATATCTGATTTTAGAAGTCAGCGATTCTCAAGAAAGTCGGACGACACTCACAAGCCCAGAGCGAAGTGTGTTTGATATCACTGTGGCGTGGCGACGACTCATTCAAACATGTACAGAACGCCATCGCCCGGTTCTGCAAGGAGTACGCTTTTGTCCAAGGTGAGCAGCACAAGATCACTGCTCATGGGTAGAAGGCTCTACTAGGCTCTCGGCGTTGAATGATTGTTTTCTGGACTGTTTCGGATGAAAACCTTTGTTGGGCTTGCGAGAGCTGTTGTGAGACGTTAAGCTATTGTTCTGAAAACGGACGCGGTGCTAACTAATGGTCCTGAGGGTGGAGTTCCGGATCTCTCCTAGCAGAGAAATGTCGTCATCACTTCGATTTCTTCCAGGTGTCGACATTGCAATGACGGAGTCCACGAAAGCAACACGTAAAGAAGCCGAGCTTTGGATTATGTGAGTTTGTGAATGAATTTTGCTTTAATTTTATTCAAATTAGGCCTCAATTGCAAAAGTAATGCTGGAGAAGCGATCCTCCGGGTACTTAACCAGGGACCCTAAGCGCGCCGAGAAGGCAGGAACGGAGAAGGGTCAGCGGACGAGTTCGCGTCAAGTTAAATAAAAGGTACTGTAGTACCGCAAATCACACTGGTGCGCTGTGACTCGTCCGCTGACCGTCTGCGTCTCTGCCTTCTTGCCGCGCGACAGGCCTCCTGCCGGACCCACCAGATGAATTTAGGCAACTACCTATGATGGATGCCCACCAGGGCACTGTCACCACATCCTCAAAGGCTTGCAGCTCAGGGTCCGCCCTGGCGTACTCCTTGCAGGCCTCCAATATACAATTATTTCCGCCTCCGAAGTTTCTCTCTAAAATTAATTTCAGTACACCAGTGCCAACGCCAGCTCTTGTCGTCGCTACCGAGAACAACGTGACAGACCCAGCGCCCACTGACACCGAACAACCGCCGAATTTGGAAGAGGAGACTCTAACTCCAGCAGTCGAAATCGATGCACCTATCGTTTCGCCTAACGAACTGCAATACCCTGAAGATGTGATTCTTGTTCGAGACAGTTCCACGGCTGACACTATGCCTGTGGACAATAAGTCCGACGGGCCCCCGCACCAGACTCTGCATGTCCCTGCACCGGAAGAGAACGCAGTGTCTCCAACTTCCGGAGCCGCTACTGCCTGAAATGTTTTCTCTCTTTTCGCTCATAGTCTTTTTGTTGGTGTGTTCGCTCATTTCTTCGGTGCCAATACCAAACTATCTACCTGTTTTTCAGCTACTTCAGCCCTGAATTTTCCTACCTGTGAAGTATTGTAAGTAGTGCTTTTTTTGTTCTTTACAAGGGTGGGCGTAAATAGCGGAAACCGCGCGCGCTCGCGAAAATTCTTTATTTTTTTCTGGGTTCTTCCGTGGTCATATTGTTTGTGTGCACTGCAACACTTTTTGACTACTGCACTGTGATGGCACATCCAGAAGAGCCAGCTTTCTCGGAATAGTGAAGGCCAGAAATTGCCATGGTCCGAGGGAATTTCTAGGAATCTTCCACTCGTTCCGCAAAAAATCGCTTGTTTTGCGATGGGGCCAATACTGCTATGGTTGTAGTAATAGCCCGCTCGGCTGATGTGTTTCTGAACTGAGAGGGCCGGAAACTTCAAAAAGCCGTTCGGGAGTTCGGAATCTTCTCGAGCTGCTCTCGTAAGGAACCGATACGAACTTAAAGGCAAAGGTCATGATCAACTTGGCGTGGTAATGCCACTCGAAAACGATAAAAGAGATGCGAAATGGCTGCAAGAGGAGAAAAGGGACGAAATCTCGTCAGAAAATCAGAAAATACGAGATTCTTGGTAGGTGTAGTCGTTTGCATCTAGAGAGCCCTGCTTGTGTGCCGCCGGATGCCTTCTCTAAGGCCGCGTTCATAGTTCGCGACTCCGGAAATTGGGATAGTACGCGACATGAAAAAGATATGTATTGACGGCGAGATTAGAATAGTAGTAGAGTAGGAGGGTAGGGAGAGGGGGATAGTGCGCTGACAAGATTAGATATGTATTGATCTATTCGCTTGAAGTCGCCCAATCTACTACTCTCCAGCGATTTCAATCGATACGTATCCAATCTTGTCAGCGCAATCTCCTACTCTACTACTATCCTAATATCCTGTCGCCTACTATCCTAATCTCCCGAGTCGCGAACTATGAACGCGGCCTAAGCAATCCGAAGAGTGTTCCGAGTTGGGCTGATGTTGATTTGAATGATGATGCTGCGTAATGCTTCTTATTCAAAAACGAATTGTTTCGATCCAAGCAGAACCCGAGCTTAGCAATTATTCAACTGTTTCAAACTTTTTTTCTGGGCTTCCGCAGTTTGCCCGAAGCAAGGAAGTTCAGATCGCGGTCGGATCGCGGAAGGCTGATATTAAAGGACGAATTCACGCTGGAAAGGCAACCCATTTCAAATTAAACTTAGCGATGGTGAGTGGTACACTAAAGAAGGAAAAACCATGAGAAACGGCCCAGAACCCGAGAAATGGGACCCCTTCCTTGCCCGTTGATTTGAGCATTGATGCGACTATCATCGCTGTGCCCTCTTCAACACTACGCTCTCTCACCTATCTAATCACTCGCCACGTATAGACCTTGCGCTTCGGTGGTCGGCGTGCACTGGCCCACCGCGCCAAGATTGAGCCTTAATAGGTCGCCGAGGTCAACTCCTTCGGTGCCAATTGCGCTTCAGTCCGCACCCTTAGGAGGTCCGCGGGTCCCTCAACTAGGTGAATTACTCCTTCTTCGATTTTCATTCTAATCGTGAATTCGTCCTTTAATGTACAAGAGGAATGGTTGCATGGAAGGTGGCGGCCCTCAGAGTATGCGCAAATGCTTAGCCACGGACAGCCCCGCCTTTACCTTTAACTTTACCTATTCCGTGCTTCTCATGGTTTCATCGAGTTGCTTTCCCTTCCGAGCAGATCACACATGCAGTCTTGCCAGCTCTATTGTAATAATTGTAAGTATGCTAAGAACCTCAAACTTTTTTGAAGTGTTATAGGCCGTTCCAGGTCCAAATGCTTTTGTTGTCGCTGTTTTTTTTTTAACTTAAAATTGTTTTCACATTTTTTCCCCTGCGCTGGTCAGGAGAAGTCAGTACGATTAGACCGTTCCCAGAACAGATTTTATTTTCCGTTGGCACCATCTGTGATTATAGAACCACATGTTTATAATTTGCATACATGCTCATTGTGTTACAATGTAAACATAATATTGTATAAAATTTAATGGTTACATGGTTGCCCGTCGTTTGGCTCACATCGTCCGTACACAAAACAATCAAGATAGAGGTGCGATTGTTCGAAGGCAGAGATCGCCTTGATATCAGGTCCAGCAATGTTTGATATTATTCCCAGTTGTACCACTCCAACTCAACTCCACTCCACTCCCTTCTTTACCTCTTTCCCCCCCCCTCCCCCGCTCCCTCTTTACTAACGATCTAACTCAAATGGTTGATGGCGTATTAGACAGGGAGACTGGATCAACATGACACAGTTCCGACCAAGATCAACCGTTATGTTCGCACTTCTTCAAGAATTTTACCCCCCCCCCTCTAGGGGGGTATTGATGGTGTTGATGCAACCCCTTACCGCCCACCCTCACGATCAGTCTTAAAGGCTCCCCCAATACGATCCCCTTTCCCTTTCTCCCACCACCACCTTTTCATCATGGCTGTTTCTATAGTATCTATAGTCCATCTACAGTATTTGATTTTGAGACCAGTCGACACAGCCCTACTCCGCCCACTTTCCCTCCAAAACATGTGGGGGGGGGGCATACGCCATTTTGCTATGATAACCTTGCTCAACCACAAAACGCAACCATCCCCCCTTCTCCCAATCACAAATGCGACCCTTTCGTTCAAATAGGGCGACCAGACGGTTGGTCCTGGTTCCAACTCCTCCCACTGACGGAACAGTGCAAACATTATCCGACCCGGTAGGTTGAAATATGTACGTTCGTTAAAACGGCAAATTGTCAGAAATTAAGTTTTTTGGATCTGAGGTTTTAGATAATTTTATGGATTGGATTTTAGACTTTTAGGTTTTTCAACTTGGCGAAAAATTACCAGCATACCTTGTCATGTCTTCATGTCTCTCTGAAATGGAGTGAAACTCCAGTTTGGGCTCTACTGCTATCTTATCCGCGTACTGGAGAGCAGCACTCCTTTGGGCTATCCAACACTATGGATAACATAGTAAGTAAGCGACGCATTTCAAGCGTACTTTTGATAAGGACCGGTGGATGTCTACATTCCACACAACCTGCCTACATCCTATCCACAGGTCATCCACCCTGGAGTTCCTCCACCCTTAGGCCTAGGCAGAGGTGTCCATTCTCCTGGTCCAGGAACGTTCCCTTGGACCATGGCAGGCGGAAATGTGTAAGCATCTCTGGGTTTCTCCCACATTGCACCGATACTTATCAGAAGTATACATTATATGAGTCTGTTTCATGTCATGAGCGCTCTCATCCTTATCTCAAGTATCGGAGAACTGAGTTCTCAGGTATCGAAGAAACTGAGTATCCCCCCCCCAACTGGAGTTTTACCCTTCTGTCAGAGCCGTCCCCGCCTGACGGTGGGCGCAAGGTCAAGCATGATGAGGAAATTTTTCGAAAAATAGTTTTCCTCCTGAGACGCTATCGCTCAAGGAATTCTGTCCGCATTTCTATTCTCTGCCATTCGTACCAGGGTCAACCGTCCGTTCGAACTGTTCGAACGGGGGGTCGCATTTGCGTTCTGGGAGGGGAGAGGGTCTCAGGGTCCCCGCTCGACGGCTATTTTTGGGGAAAAAGTGGGTGGAGTTTCGGAGTTTTAGGTAGGTTTTGGGCTGTGTCAACTGGTCTCAGAATCAAATACTATAGAAGAGGGAGAGGTCGCGGTGGGGGAAGGCTGGTTGTATTGGGGGTCGCAAAAATCCCGAAAATGTTCGAACGTGACGGTTGACCCTGATCCGTACCTTATTCGTATCAATTAGGCTTGCCCCGAGAAAAAAAACGTCATCGAGCGTGGTTCTGCCTTGAGCATACTGATTTCTCTGTGATTCTTGTGCAAATTTGAAGAGTAAGAATTTCTAAAATATCCTTCCACAGCTCGCCAAATGGGAACGGACTGGATAACGCTGACATTCATTTTGATAGAGCACGAAAGCATTCTACAAGGTCAATACGTCGAGAATACTTCGCCTGTCGTTAGCTCGTCTCTGAGTGAACCCCTGGAGCCGGTTTTCCTTCGGGTTAACTGGACTGCGTTGCAAACGCACAGCGTGATCCCCTGCACTCGAATGGGAAGTGACGTAATAGCACTAGTAGAGAGCAAACAATGAGGGAGCGTGCTGCTCAATATAGGCGCGGTCTTGGCGTGCAGGGGCAGTTAAGTGCGTTCAAATGACCAACGTCGCCAGTATTATCCCAACACTGACGTTAACAGTCAAGTAGTGAACCGGTTTAGTCGAAGGGAAAAGGACACGCAAGTGCAGTGAGTCACAAACACCTCAAACTGGTTGAGAAC